GTTTGAAACTTATTTGTGAACAATCTATTCATGCTTGGCTCGAATATGTTCGTTTATAATCTGAGCTTAAAAAATATACTTGTGTAAACAAGTAGAATATGGGTTAACAGCTCTACTCAAATGTTACCACAGTTTTTAGTATTAACTAACCAAACTCACTCAAATAAATTATGTCCTTTCCAACTTGCTTACTCGCCGGTCATCCAAATTGCCCCGCCACCGCTTTATCGGGTTTCTTTGCCAGACGGTACAACAAACCACCGGATACAGTAAGTTTCCCGGTTCCCGACCGCACGTGCCCCGCTCCAGTTCCACACTTTCACCCGCTCCCCCACCTCCTCTGCGTGGCTGATGAGCTAACGGCACCATCGCCTCTTTAATATTCCATTTTTATTCTTATTTTCACCAACAAAATAACCCCCAACCCCACCCACAAATCAAACCCCGAGTAAATAACCACTAACAAGTAACAATAAATAAATAAAAACTAATACACGATAAAAAAATATAAATATTTTTTTATCTTAAAACACTTGGTTACGTAAATATGTAATATTAAATTTATTTTAAACAAAAATTTAAAATTTAAAATCACATCTTATTTTTATTAAGTTATCGTAATAAAAATCCTTTTTTGATTTAAATACCTTTTTAAAAATTTAAGTTTGATTACAAAAAATAAATAAAAGAATAAAAAGCCAGCTTCTTGCCTCCTCGCTCTTTAAATACCTTTTTAAAAATTTAAGTTTGATTACAATAAATAAATAAAAGAATAAAAAGCCAGCTTCTTTTCTCCTCGCTCTCTATCTCTCTCTTTATTATCTTGGGCTTAGACAAGGTAAGCGGTTTTGCACTCTTACACTCTCCTCCATCCATTGCTCTTCTCATCCCCATGAGAATCCGCAGAAGGCCAGCCTTTCTCCTCCCTTCTCCTCCTAATCAAACCCCAGATCTATTAACTCAAACTCATGAGCTCGCAAACAACCATACATGGCGCTCCCAACCAGCTGATCAGCAAGATTTCAATAGAAAAGTTTCAGAAGGCCGGTTATTGCACTCAGTTGAAGATCTGAAACCAGAACACAACAAAGCTTCTCCTTTCTTTGTTCTGGATCAGGTAAACAAAATGAATAGATATTACTCTGCCATTTTCTCCTCATAAAAAAACCCTCCTTTACTTCTTTTACACCTTTCCTTTTTTTTTTCTTCGTTCTTCAAGTCCGATCAAAGCTCCCTCTCCTCATTTCTCGATTCGAACAGAGATCTGAAAGAACCTCATTCTCAGAATCCATCGGTTAATGCCACTAAAAGGTCAGTCAAAATCACACTATTAAATCCACTCATAAAAAAAATCCCCCTTTTTGCCAACCGTGATATATTAGTTTGGTTATAGCAGCTCAGGTGCACCGCCGCCACCGCCGCCGCCGCCGGCGAATAGGAGGAGAAGACCAGCTCTGTTAATGGAGGGTTCGAGGTGTAGCCGAGTTAATGGAAGAGGGTGGCGTTGCAGCCAGCCAACGCTGGTTGGTTACTCTCTCTGTGAGCACCATTTAGGTAAAGGTAGACTGAGGAGTATGAGCTCAGTTAAGGAGAAGCTTGAAAATAGTTCGCCGGAGGTTGAGTTGAGGAAGAAGACGAAGAAGAAGATTGGAGTGTTTAAAGCTAGGTCTCTTAGCAGTCTTCTCGGTGATGAGATCGCCGGCGATTTGGCATTGCCGCCGCAGCATCTCCGGCGAACTGGTGAGAGGTAATAATATTATATCTGTCTTGATCATTTGGCTTAAATGTCTTAATTTTATTCGAAGGATCATGCATGCAACTAATGTCTCTCTTTCTCTATATATATTTATATATATTAATTAGTTTGTATGAACATTATGATCGAACATGTGAATGATTGTTTCTGTTTGATCAAAAAATGTTAGATTTATTACTTTATACGTATGAAAATTAAATAATTTTATATATTAGGTTCATTGAAAATCTCATGAGTATTATTTCATGAACACTTAGTTCTTATATAAGGAAATTGGAATACTTGAATAATGGAGAAAATCATTTGTTCATTATTTGGATGATTGTGTGGATCGCATTACTTCCCGTCGCAATGGCATGGCATGATTGAAGGTGAGTTAGAATGTAGTCCCGTGCACAACAACGCGGTATGATTTATGCTAAGTTATAATGTAATTCGAACGATCATCCACACGTCTGTTGATCCATACATAATGTTAGAATGTGTTAAATGACTGCAATGATATATATGACAAGTGCAACTATTTAGAGAGTATAGTATATAGCTTGTTGTAAAATTATGGCTTGGTATTATAAGTATTTTTAGTTTGAATTATTGTATATTTTATATGTTGGACCAAGAAATGTGGGGATGGATTGAGCTTAGATTAGAAGTGTAAGTGTTAAAATGACTGATAAACTGATTTTAAAAAGCTAATCAGGATTTAGATTCGAGCCTTTTCTGATTAATTAGAGGCATTAGTTCTTGAGTAATTATGATTATTTAAAAATTCATTAACGCATAATATTCTTAAAGCATACCTGAATTCAATAGGCTAAGCGCAGCATAATTATAAATATTAAAAAATAATTGTCTCTTTTCTGATTTAATTCTCATATTCATAGTTTTATAGCTTGCGATAACTATAAATATGAGAATTTAGCTCATGACATGATTTAACCAGTAGAATTTAGCTTGATTTTAAGCTAAACTCAATAATTTAGTCAAGCTCAAGTTTAATCAAACATAAGCGAAGGATATAACATTATGTCTGAACATACATGTTTGTTCAGGAGGTCACGTCATTACACGAAGGATATAACATTATGTCTGAACATACATGTTTAGGAGGTCACGTCATTACAAATTCACTTATATAATGACCTGAAAAATGGATGTTATATATATATATATATATGTATGTATATATATATATATATATGTATATATATACTCAAATTGTTAGGCACATTATGAGTGACTGGAGCCTCGTATAACTGCCTTTAGCCATTCCTTTAATATATATATATATATATAATACAAAGAAAAAAAAAAGTTTAAGCTCCTCTAATAATTAAGCCGAGAAATTAGTGTATGGAAAAATATATTATTGTATGTATTAACATAAGTCCAACGACAGCTAGGCTCTGTAAGGAAAAATGCTGGCTTGTGAAGCATGAAGAGACAATTTTTGTTCTTCTTTGTCTTTTTATTACATTTATAATGAATCAACATTTTAATTTTTTTTTTATTTTTTTATTTCTTTGGTCCAGTTGGGATGAGCGGTGTGGCGTATGGCAGATCTGCCGGTATTTTAAAAAAAAATTAAAATAAATTAATAATTTTGTATTTTAATGCAGATAATAAATTAAAAAATATTTATTTCTTATTCTCGTAGAAATATATATGAACTTCGTTTTAGGTAGGTTAGTTAATTATATTGACACAAATGACATATATTTAAATTGTAGGTATTTATATAAATTAAAATAGTTGGAATAAAATATGAATAATAGAAAAAATCAAACCAAATGAAGTCAATGTCTATGCCACATCAGCACCATTTA